CTCCCGTTCTACTGGGCCAATTGACAAAATTCAGATTGCTTTTTTTTGCTTTTTTTGTATCTCGAAAGCTGACTTGGGATATGTATTAGATTTATATATGGCATTGTTCAAATACGGGTATTTTGACACAAAATCAGACTGTTTCTGAAATGACATACCAATGTTTTTCCATATTTCAATTCTACGACTCAAATTATGCCAAACTCCCAAGTTTTGTAAAAATTGCATTTTTAAATTAGTTCTCAAAATTTTAGCTCCTCAATGTTAATTTAGTTTGGTATGTATTTATTAATATCTCTTTTTAATTAAACTTATTTGATTACTTCTTACACAGTTTGAGATTTAGGTTCATTCCAAATATAATTCATGGATTTTGTATGATTTATTTAAAAATAATTTTTGTAAATTAGAGCAGTAGAGCGAAGACAAAAAAGGGATTATCTTATCAGTGTCAACAGTTAGAATCACTTTCAAGAAAAAGTAATTGTTCAACAAATAGCCATTGAAAATTTGCTTGGAGGACCTAATTGGTGTTAAAAATCACAGAACAAAAGAAATATCCATCAGGACCAAAACAACATTAGACAGAAGCTTCCTGCTTTGGAAAAAAGATAGCTTTTAGTTTAGAGTACACATATAAGAAAATTAAAGAACAACATTTGAAAAGAGGTCAAATAATTAAATGGATGAAGTGTCCATTGCTTTTTACTATCCTCCAAGCAGAACTGTTCATTCAGTGGGTGAGAAACTATTTCTGTATTAAAACCTGGGAATGAAAACACTTCTTGTGTGGGTTGTGCCTCCAATTGAAATAAATTACCCTCTTTAATAATTTTAAAAGAAAATGAGTTCCAAAAGGAAACTTCCTTAAAGAGGTCATTAATTGCACCAACGAAAAGGGCTGATGTGCGAAGAAGCCAAGTTGTTTTGACCTCAGAGAATGGTGAGCAGTTTCCTGTGTTTTTCTGATACTGATTCTGTTTTGTTCAGCATATATCTATTACGATAAGCTAATCAAGCGAACTGCAATGCTCTAAACATCTGCATTTTCTTGCTTCCATTTGCTGCTGGATGCCTTCTTGTTAGTGTAATTGATAATGAGATTCCTAGAAATTTTAAATATTCAGTTAATGAATTTAATAAACCTTCATCAGACATTTCTAAATTTCGCTGCAGTTTCTTAGGAACATAGAATTTTCAACATAAACATACAGTCAAAAAGGTTACATTACCAGGCATTTACAATATTTTTAGGGATTATATATGAAATACAGTATTTACAACTTAAATATTCTATTACTAGATTATAAGAAGTGTGAAATGCCGTTGTTAATAATAGCCTCAGAGACATGTATGTAAACCAAGTAAAAATGTGTATGGCAATCTGGTGGATTATTTTGAAGAAGCTGTACCACCTCTAAAGAGAGAAGTGTTAGATGTTTCAACAAATTAAATATACAGTACAAAGTCCGAAATCCAGACGTCCATTATCCGGAATAATCTAAAATCCAGACCTCAAAACTACAAACAAAATTTTTCTTGTAGGCTTTACTCATGCGCGTTTAATTTCCCCCTCTGCGCATAATAGGACATCTGGAAAGTCCCGATTCTTAATTTCACTTCCCTCCGTGCATAATATAGAACATCTGGAGAGTCCTGATTCTTAATTTCACTTCAACACTAAATAAAATACCTAATTATTGAAGAACAATGATTTTAGCATAAATTTGTACGATCAGTAATTTGGCTCTGTTGCTGCGTATTTTCTTGGCACACATCTCAAACCGAAACATTCGACGTAAATACATCGTTGATCTGAAGCCAACCTGGCAAATTATTATTTATTATACTTTCCTTTCATTACCGCATGTTTATCAAAACATGACAACTTGAGTAATGACTCGTATGCAATTTTTGTATGTTAGTATTTGAATAATAAAGGAGTGGGGTAATCATTAATGTTGACATTATGCGTGGCGATGATTACACATTTCAGTTGCGCTAAAAAATGTTGACGAGGAAAAATTTACCAAAACTTTCTTTCCATGTGCTAAAAATAGATTTTTTTAATGATACTCATAGACCCAAAGATTACATTTAGATCATAAATAATTCATTATTTCATAAATCATGATTTCATATTTTTAATTTTATAATTTCTACATGCCATCTTACTAGATTTAAACTGATGATCTATTATCCGGGAAAATCCCAAATCTAGAATCACCGAAGTCCTGACAAATCTGGATTTTGGACTTTGTACTGTATATTTCATGAATGTACGTAAAATAAATTGCCTTGAGCATGGTTACAATTTTTAAACTGTATGTAATCAAACTATTTAAGATGTGAGATCACTGTTCTCATATGTAAAAATATGATTGTCTCAAATGATGTTGATAAGTAGTTTTTTAGAATATATGTAACTAATGATTATTTATGTATACATGTTTGTCTACTACAGCTATTGCATGGAATGCAATCTTTGTCAAAAAAAAAAGCCAAAAAAAGGTCTCTTTAATAACATATGGTGAGAAATATATAATTTAAGAGTTTATTGAATGTTGAAAATCATTTTTGAGCCCCAACTTACTGATGCTGTGAAATGTTTAAGTCACAGAATGTCAGTGCATAATTTATGTTTATGATGCAGTGCCTACATTTTGCATATGAGATGCTGAGAAATTTTTGCATCGCATAAACGCCAGCAGAGAGATGCATATGTTGTACACAGAATTATGCCCATAATATAATTTATGCAATCTCTGGATATGAATGCACTAGATTATTTTGTTCCAGGGCCACCTGAAGTTTCTCTTTTTTCTGTTTATTATTATTTCTACCTTATATTCTGGCCATATACTAAGGATGCTCTTCAGTAGATGTGCAGCATTTCAGTCATATTGGAATGCGTCTGCCAGTCTCTGTGATGATGTTGGCATTTGTATTATTGTTAGTGGGTTGCATTTTCAGATCTTTTGCATTTATTATGGTCTGTGAAATCTGTTATGGAAGATAGGTTTTATATATTACTTCTGAAGTTTAGTAACTTGTCATATTACCAACATTGAATTATCCTTTTTGCATTGGCCACCTCGATCGGTGAACCGCTTTCTTGGGTTTACATGCTAACAGGGGTACTCTCTTGTGAGGGCAGGCAATTCATGGTCTAATTTTGGGACAAATTTGCATAAATTAAATTTGTTGTCCAATAAATTTTTCCTTACATTATAAGAGGAACAGTAATTGTCAGAATTAATTTAAAAATGTTATCATGATATTTTCTGTAGGAATTCTAGAATAAAACTGACTTTTCTCAAATAGATATACATGAAAAAAATACCAAAACAATTAGATTTTATTTCACACATTTATAAAAATTGTTAAAATTCCTTTCTTAAAAACAAACATTAAGACCACAAAGAAGTAGTATTTCAAAAAATAGACAATGCACGATATTCTTTGAAACATGGGTATTCGCAAAGTCTTATATTGTATATCTGACAAGAGTGAAATGTCTGCTGATGTTTTCAGATTTTTGTGACGGTTTATGAGCATTCTGTGCATTGTCTATGACACATTTTCCCACTTTTATTTAAAGTAGCAAAGTGTCTCTTAAAAAGTCTTAAAGGTGAGGGTGATGACTGCATGGTGAACTTCCTTGGGCCGTGTAGTTTTTTGTAGTTTTAAAATATTTATTCCATAGCTTTATTTTAAATTTCAAGAAGAGTGTCTTTAGTCCATATAGTCATAAAGAACATTGGCATTCATGAGCACAATATCATCCAATCCAAAAAACAGTTTTTGTCACACTTTGCAGATTTTTGGGATGATGGATGATGAGTTATGATTGCATTCTCCTATGTCAGTGTGCTCCTTGAGTGTCAGAAAAGGACTTATTTATCATTATCATATGTGTATACTCTTTTTCAGTTAAATACCCATTTGAAGTCTAAAAATATTTCTCTAAACAATACACAAAATATTGGTCTCAAAGAGGACTGAATAAAATCTCTATAACTAGAATATCTAACCAATATCAAGACTGGCACTGGGCATTTTGCTGTTGAGTTCAAACCTGTGAGTTCTAAATTTTGCCACCTGGCTCCTTCCTGATTTTAAAAGTTTTGTCACCCCTAAATTCTGTCATCTTCTGCAACTGAACTGGCTATGGTGCTGCGCCTGCCCCTTATCGGCAAAAACAAAAAATATTTGGAAGCATGATGAGCACATGTATGTTATTATACCAGCTGATGATATTAATAGACAGCTCTGTTTATTTGCAATACTCTTCTGAAACAAAGTACAAAAATGAAAAATTTGCAACAGAATTCTACTATAACGGACATAGGGCTATACTTATTGGCCAAAAAAATATTGATTAAATGTTCCTATCTAAAAATTCATATGTGGTACACCCATCCTCAGAGTCAATTTAAATAGCGATTCATAATATGATACACCCGGCTTGTAAGATAATTAATGTCTGTGGCCTATGCTTATGTTACATGCCTGTCACAAGAATGTTAATACCCACTGAGGAAACTTTCACTGTCTTTTAAATTATGATAGCCTGGGATCTTGTCCAGCATCTGCTGCTTCATTACTTCATTGATTTATGTTTATCTTTTCCACTTGCAGCAGAATTCTAGTGTTGCCATCTTGTCATGGATTTGTGCCATCTTGTAACTCATAAACTATGTGTTGCCTGCTATATGCTGATAGGCTTTTTTTTTTGTGTGTGTGTGTGTGTGTGTGTAGAATGCACTCCTGGCCTTTGATGATTTCATTCTGGGACACATTGTGCAATATATTTTAAATTTATTTTATATGTGTCTGCAGGATAGCCAGTCTCCTACTAATTGCATTTCACAAAAGTATTTTATAGTATATTTATATATTCATTTTACATTTTTTATTTTATATGTGTGTAGATGGTCACATTTGGCAAAAGTGTTTCACATTATAATTATATATTAATTTTACACATTTTAAAATAGATCACCTGAAATGAATCCTAAATCTAGCTCAAAGGAGATTCCATCCAAGCCTGCTACCTCAGTTTGGAAAGGATTTATTTCCATGCAGGATGTTGCAAAATTTGTTACAAGTGCTTATAAAGTATCAGGGCAAACTGATCATCTTCATGTAGTAAGCTTCACTTTTAAAAAATTATTCCTATCCTAAAAAACTTTTGAAATAATTTTTTTGGGGTCACAGTTCTTGTGTGAAAAAGGTTGGTTTTTTTTTTCTTTGTACCAGCATAACAAAATTAAAATCTTATTTTTTTAGAACTGCTGCCAGAAAAATGCTTATTTTCTTGATTATTTGGAAGAAGGATATTTATATTATGATGGCAAATATTATTTTTGCCTTTTTGTGCATGTGTGATATTTGTGTCTGCAAATATGAGTGGAACTGTAGAGAATGTTTTTCCTAAGTCCAGAAATGGATTTTCTTGTAAACATTACAAAGCAAATTATATTTTTCAACACCAAGATATCTACTGTGTAATTTCAGAGTTATCCTTTTTTCTGGGCACTAGTGAAACAAGAAAGCATAATTTTTACAGCAAAAACTAGGAAATGTAGTTCAATATTTATTTTTATTTTTATTTTTTAGAAGCATTTATGTCTATGTAGAGGAATTTTATGAAGTAGAAGCATTTACTTTGTAATGCGTTTTTTTTTTTTTTTTTTTTTTTTAATGTCAAATGCATCTTTTTCCTTTTTAATGGATGTTTTGCTTCAAGGATATTTCCTAATATCTTTCTTGTTAGCAATTATATAAAGGCTCTTTCATCTATGCATTATTTTGAATACTTCTGAGGAATCAGCAGCATCATTAGCAACATAGAAACATAAGCAAATTTAAAGTACTGATTAGCAGATACAACAGTTAAGTTGTGCATGAAAAATCAGAAAGAGAAGAAAGGTAAATTATTGTGATAATTTGTGACAACATGCCTTCATGTGTAGTAGTCTGCAAGCATTTTTAGAATTGAGATGCCAACTTCTATGTGGGTGACTGCTAGTGTAAAGCTGGTATGTTTGAGATATGCTAGTGTAAAACTGATATATTTTCATGTTGTAATTTTATTGTTTCGAGTCATTCCGTTATATTTTGCCAATTACAGAAATTAATTGTTGTTTTTACTTGCATATTTTACCTCTTTTTTACTAATTTTAGGATTAAGAAAATTGAGGCAAGAATTGTGTGAATAATTTCCAAAGAATACGGTTACGGTAAAAACACAGCTAGTGCAATGTATTTGTGTATAAATTACGAGTAAATATCACAATATTATACTCTTTTGCAAAAAAATCGAAACACCAAGAAAGACTTTTGAGATCGCAACGCAATTTGGTACGCAAAAACATCTTGATCGAATATGCAAATGATCAAAGTTTCAAAGCAAATGAACAAGAATTGCTATCATAGTGCGCATTTCTAGTGTGTAATTCTGCAAAGAAGCAACTAAAGATGCCATTACGACGATATTGAAGACCTTACAGGCAACTAAACAACTTTGAACATGGTTGCATTGTTGGGTTGCGTGAAGCTGGGTGGTCATACTGAGCACTTGCAGCATACAGACACTGCTGTGCAAAGATGTTGGCAGCAATGGTTGCTACAATGGAATTGCTGATGAAATGAAGGCTCTGGAAGGCCAAAGAGCACAAATGTGAGGCAAGATGGGATGATTGTTCCCCAGGCCCGAACCACCCCAGTATTATCATTCTCGACTATTCAGCGCACTACAGCTGCATCTATACCTCCTGTGGTACCACCCACCATCTCACAACGCTTGCCTGAGGCGAGATTACGCTAACAGAGACCCTTGAAATGTTTGCCTTTGAGTAGTCCGCAACATTGGTGGAGTCGTCTAGAGTGGTGTCGCAGCCGATCATCATGGCTGCCATCAGACTGGCATCGTATAGTTTTCAGCAATGAATCCCGCTTAATTCTTGATGCAGATGACCACCATGTTCGTGTTTGGAGAGGACGGGGCCAGTGGTCCCAATCAGCCTTTGTTTTACAAAGGCATACAGTCATAACCCTTGGTGTGATGGTGTGGGATGCTATTTCTTATGACAGCAGGTCATCTTTAGTCATCATCCATACATCTTTAACAGCTCAACGATATGTTGATACTATTCTGCGGCCAGTTGCATTACCCAATCATGGAACGTCATCCTGAGGCCTTTTTCCAACAAGATAATGCCAGGCCACATATCACTTGCATATCTTTGGACTGTCTCCATGCGGTTGATACTCTTCCTTGGCCAGCAAGGTCACCAGACCTTTCACCAATCAAGCATGTTTGGGACATGATAGGCTGCCAGATTCGGGCACTACAAAATATCACAGATTTGGAACAACAAGTGATGAAAGCCTGGCAGATTGTGTCACAGGATGACATTAGGAACCTCTACCACTCCTTGTCTCTACGAATTCAACATGCGTTGCTGCAAGGGGCGGTTCGACCAACTACTGATTTGAACACTCAGTGGGTGATTGTGAGCCGTGAACAGGTACTATGACCTTGATTTTTTTTATCATTTTATTATCTGTGTATGAGGTATACACATATTCAATTTCATCAAACACAACCACTTCCTTCATGGTGCTTCGAGTTTTTTGCAAAAGAGTGTATTTATTTAAAAGAAACTTATGATGTAATAAGAATACATAGCAACATTATAATAGGTAATAAAATATCTTAATTTCTTCTTACACTGTATCTTGACTCGCTGGTACTCCCGAAGGCTCAAATCATTTAGTGCTACTGGAACTATTGTCTGTGCCATTTGATACAGCTTGCAAATCATCAGTATCATCACAGTTCAGCATTTTTTCCCAATGCAGTGATCTTCAGATCTGTCAAAGGCAATAAATATTCCCATTTTTTGTAAAGCTGTTTTCTATTGCTCTATCAGTTAGAGTCCATGCATCCAAAATTCACAAGAAATTCAATTAGTAAGATAAAAACAGTCAGTACTTCAACAAATCCATTTTAAAATTTAGAGAACATCAATTTCTGAATGCCTTAAGAGGGGTAATTATTTGAGTATTTAAAAAGTTTCAGAAACTTGTGCTGAAAATGCTAAGGGGAAAAGTATGTAAGTAAATATGGTATTATTTAAGTAAAAGATTACATACCCTGATTTCATGGTAAAAATTTGCCTGCCAGCAGTTTATAAGTAATAGAAATTTTGCTATGCGGGAATTTAGGTCTCACTTTAATTCCCCACCTCCCATCTTTGATGTTCAATCCTATAGAAAGTTATTCACCTATCTGAGTACATAGGAATCTGCAGTTGCTAAGACTGCAAAATTAGCAGAATGTTGTAGAAAATTTTGTTTCTAACAGCATTTTAATTTTGGGTGATTTTGAGTCTGACATGATCAAAATGTATTGGCCACTATTAGTTTTCAAAACTATGTTAAATAATTTAATCCGGTTGGGTACAGTTTATATATACACTGCCTGTCAAAATTAAACATATTGACAGAAATATTATTTTTTCTTTAAATGTTTAATTAGTATGCTACTGTTATGATTTGTATCTACTGTGTGGCAACTCAAATTCGATATACTTTTTAAGGATGCCTGTATTCTGTCCTTAACTTCTGTGTGTTTATTTTTGTGTTGTATCAGATAAATGACTTTCAAGACATGTTTTCGTGCCTTGATTTTTAAGTACAAGCTCACTGCTGAACTGCATCGTTAAAACTACTATGTGCATTTAAAAAAATTATATACTTGCTAATAACTGATTTTTTTAAATTTTGTTTAAAACCTCTTTGATAAATAAAAGTTCTTTTTTACTTGGCCTTTCTACCGTATAAAATTTTAATAAAATTAAAAAGTCAATTGAAATCTGGCCGCCTCAAAAAATGAAGTTAACAATTAGATTAATAAATATCAGTTTATTTTATGCTAGACCTTTATGTAAGTAGTTTAAAAACCGGAATGATGTCTTATTAAGTTTTTAAGTTAAATTTGTGAGTTTGGAATTCTTTTGAAATCATGTGACATAAATAGGCTCTGGTTTTTCAATTTTATGGTATACAGGTATGTTCTACATAAACAACAAAGGACAAGGAATGCAAAGGCGTTTTACTGAGGCTGAAGTCAGGTTTAGAAAGTCCATTCAGTACTTGCATCCTACTTCTTTTCTGTGTTTAATTTCCTCGTCATATGTGACATGTTGCGGTGTTTAGTCTCTTCCACTGGTACGTTTTAGTATACAATGTGGTAATGCTCATTTTATATGCAAAAATCTTTCCATTCTTTTGGCAAACCTTAGCATTGTAGTTTTGAGTACGAGTTATAAGTTATCTCTAGTGAAGTGATCCTAGTGTATTTTCTTCTACTTAATTTTTTTCCTTTGCTTCTTTTCTGAAGTACAAACTATTTCTGTGGAAACTAGATTTCTTTTCACCATGGACTTCCACTTAAAAAAATTTTGAAATTGGATTTGAAACTTAAGATATTGTTACGAAATGCCCACCATGTGGTAAAATAGCTTCTCCCACAAAGCAGGTTTAAAGTTGCCAGGTTTGGCGTGAAATTTCCCATTTGATGGCAGGCTTGGCGATAGGTCATAGACAGATGGAGAACTTTCTGAAATGATTTCTTACCAGTTAAGCCCAGAATGTCCTCGAAGGCAGGCTGAAAGCTATATAAACCCTGCTGGTATGTGGAGTAGAGTGTGTCTCGTAGTCTAAAGTTGAGGTGTCTCATCAGTGTATCGCGAGTTGGTGCATTGAGAGTATGCATGTTAGGTTATCGAGTGCATCATCAGTGTATCGCAAGTTAGTGCATCATTGAGGCTATCAATTGTATTGTCAAGTGCATCGCGAGTTGTAGGGTGGAGAGTCTCGTGAGTATATTGAGTTCCGAGAACGACGGAACTGAGTCGGGACCTGTACTGTAGTGCTATGCCATAAAGCTGTCTTCACCATTTCAGCCCGATAGCCTGAAGGCTGTTTTGCTGATTGTTTTGGCATGTGTGTCGTAGTTTTTACATGACTGCAAACGTGTTTTTGGAGCAGTCCTGAGTAATATTGACTAATAAATTGCGTTTTGATTTTTTATCAAGTGTTTTTGTCTATCAATCCAAATCCATGAACCTGCTGAACTCAACAACTGGTGTCAGTAGTGGGTTTTGAGAGTGAATACCATTGGTGCCAGTGACCCGTCTGCAGGAAAAAGGCCTTGGCGGAGGAAATGTTTACAAATTTCTTGGCAGCTGTAAAAGCTGGACTGGAAAAGATCAAGGCTGAGCTAAAAGCCAGAAATGAAGAGTTGAGGGCTGCAATTAAAGCTGGATATGAAGAGATGAAAGTTGGACTACGAGAGTTAGTGATCTAAACAAAATCGTGCCAAGAAGAAATAAAAGCTGGCTAAGAAAAGCTGTAAGAGCAATTCCAACGGATGAGTAGAAGAAACTGGAGCCATAAGAAGATGTGGAAATGACAGAAGTGGCTGAAGAATCAAAGGTTGAAGAAAGTAGCTAGTGAAACGTCTGAGAAAGATCAAGAAATGATGGATGGAAACATCTAACAGGATTAAAGAAAAAGAACGAAAGCATGAAGAAATAAAAGACAGGAAAAAAGCTTTTGATTCCCAAGTGCCTGACGTAGAACTGGAAGAAAGTGAAAATGTGACTGTTAAGTTCGTAGAAACTGACATTGAAGTTACTAAGTCGCAGTTGTATTGCACCATCTGAAAATTCATGTGATGCAGAGATGGAAGAAGCTGATGTACAGTTTAAGCAGAGTGTTCCAGTATTGCAATAAGATACAACCACTTCTTAAACTAAGTATGTATCTCATGAAACAATTTGTACAGGCACAAACGTAATTCTAAACCAGGATACTTCTGTATGTAAAGGATCGGATTCTATTCATAACTCTGATGCAAGCATCGGAACTGGCTTTCAGGAAATAGAGGTAAATAAGCATGTACCAACTGCTAAAAGTACTGAGGTGAACTGTACACATGATGTGAATAAACAGCAGAATGGTGAGCAAACTGTTTCAGATCATCCTGTGGATGAAAAGTCTGAAAGGACTGAGTATTCAGACTGTGATATGCAAATCAGAAATACATCTAAGAAATGCAGTGAAAAAGTATTTAACCTGAGTGTAACTTGATGAAAAGCTTGAGACTGAATTTCATTCTGAACTTTAATTTGTATAATTTAAAATTGTTATGTGGTTAATTTGTGTATATAACATGTACATAGTGTAAATATTTGTTTCTTTAGTTGTTGTTTGTTTGTTTTATTACATTTTCTTTGTATCGAATTTGGCTTCTGACCAATGATTGTATTGCCCGGGACTTGTGGTCCTTGGTAGGGTGCAGTGTTACGAAATGTCCATTACTTGTAAGTTAGGTTCTTCGCAAAGCAGGTTTAGGGTTGCCAGGTTTGGCATGAAATTGCCAATTTGGTGACAGGATTGGCGATATGCCATAGATGGATGGAGAAAGCAAACAACTTCTGTAACAAATTGTTACTGGTTTGGGTCAGAATGTTCTCGAAGGCAAGCCGAAAGGTATATAAATCCTGCTGGTCCACGGAGTAGAATGTGTCTTATAGTATAGTCTTGAGGTGTCTCATCAGTGTATCACGAGTTGGTGCATTGAGAGTATGTATGGTTGAGTCTACCATTGAGTGTATCATGAGTTAGTGTGTTGAGGCTATGGAGTCTATCGTCGAGTGCATTGCGAGTTGTGAAGTCTCGAGAGTGTGTTCAATTCTGAAGACAACCAAATCGAGTTGGGAGTTGTACTCTAGTACTTTGCCATGAAGCTGTCTTGATCATTCTAGCCTGAAGGCTGTGTTGCTGATTGTTTCAGGGTGTTGTAGTTTTTCTATGACTGTAAATGTGTTTTTGGAGCTGTCCTGTGTTTTTATTCTTCATAAAGTGTTGCCTTGAATCACTCCAAATCCGCGAACCTGTAGAACACAACAATATCTGTTAGTTATTACTCTTGCCATGCAGTCATAATTTTTCATTTTTCAAACTCATTGGTTTTAATCGCTTAGGTTGTCTGTGATTCTGTAAACATATACAGCAGTATAATCATTATACAGCCTTATAAACCTAAAATTATATGTATTTTCTACATTTATCATTTGAATTGCTACTTTTATTCTCAAGCTTAATTAATTGCAAAGCATTTTTGTCTTGTTTTTAAAATGTTTTGTAGTATGTGCTTTTCAGAGGAGCAGGCACCTCCCCCCGAAAAAACATATATATCTTAAAGCCTATAATTAGATCTAGAAAAGATCTAGACCTATGTAGATTTAGAAAAGTTGTTTTTAAATGACTTTTAAAGCAAATTTTAATTTTTGAAAAGGTAAGTATCATTTTGCTGTGATATAGAATGTATGAAACTGAATGAAGGAACTTGGAATTATCAGCTAGATATTATTTATTTACTTGAAAAATAAACTTTTTCAGTAAGTACATTAAACTTATTTTATAATTTTTCAAAGTATTATCTTCGCTCATATTATCTTTTAGTTGAAATAAAATACTTGATAGCATTTCTTATTTTAAAAGCTAAAATTTTTACACTTTATAATTTTTATATTATTTTCTTGGAATAATTTAAATACTGTTTCAATTTACCTAGGATATTCCTGACACAATTCAAGTATGTGGACGAATTATTCCTGATCAAGTCTGGGATTATTTAAGTAAAATCAAGCAGTCTGGGAATAAGGTAAAAGAGTTAAACTTCAATTCACATATTGATTGAAATATGTTTGAGGTGGCTTCTGAAATCTCTCTCTCTCTCTTGGTATGATGTAGCTTTTGTAAAAGGAAAAATAAATTAGTATTTATAATTCTGCTGCTGAACTTATGTGTGCTAATAAATAATTCAGCAGCAGGAACACATTGATGAGAACAACACTGCCTTTGAACAACAACAACAAAAAAAAAAAGGGCTGATTATTGAGGAATTTTCTTGATTTTTTCCCTTATATATTGCAAATATAAATCACCTCATGAGAAATAAATAGTTGTCTAAATACAGCCATGAAATACTCTTTTCTTCAAAATCATGAACTGTCTGCATGGTGGTAGGGACAGGCTGGATTCATGGTTGTTTACATAGTACAAGGGTTGCTAAACTTCAAAACGGAAGAAGCTGCATGTTAGTATTCAGAAAATTTTGAGAAACACAACTGGATTTTAAGAGTTGCAATTTCTTGTTTATATCATTTTAAAGGTAATGAAACACTCGAGAAAAAGAAAAAAAAAAAAATATTTGAGGACACAAAACAAACACAAAAAGAAACATTTGAGGTAAATTAATAAGAATTTCACATTTTTGTGTAATTAATGCGTAATTACACAAAATGTTGTTTATGTGATATACAAATTTGAAATTATTTTATGATGCAGCTCAACATTCTTTTTTCAGGCAGGTAGCCTGGCATTTTTTCCTAGTTTCCTTCCTTCCTCCTTCCATTTATAATTAGTGAATAGTTTTAGTAGAATTGTACTGAAATCAAAAGAAGGAAGTGTAGTGATTTTTGCAAGTACGACATCGCAGAAACTTCATGTGAGGAAAGACTAAAGCACAAATTTTAGGAATAAATCCAGTCATTTTTCATTATTTTTAATTTGCAAAGCAAACAAGAATTGTCTGCTGCTGGGAATTGATTCATTTGTAAATGAATTTCTAAAAGAAACTGGCTCATATACATGCTCTTCATGGAAATTAATAATACTTTAAAATAAAAGAGTTAGCATTTTAATTATTCTACATAAAAATAATAGTTTAGGATTTTGGGTGCAATTAAAACAAGGATCAGTATACTGAGATCAAGCTTTAGTCATATAAAGATCAAGCTTTAGCATAATAAATATTTAATTCTTTAGATGGGAATTGAATTATCGGTAACATTTTACTTTTTCTAAGGCTGAAACATTAAGATCCTCAGAACCTGTGAATCTGCAAAATGATTTGATTTTCTACAACTAGAATCTTGGTACTATTTTTATTTATTTTTTAAATTAAGTATTTTTTTTAATTGTTGGTATTCTAATGTAAGAAACCATCAATCATTTTTACTCAAAAATTTGGAAAAATGATTAGTTTTATTGTGACAGTTTCAGTGTTACCTGAATCATAAAATTCACTCTTATGTTAAAAGTTTTTCATTAATAGTCAGGTGACTTCCTTTAACAGAAAACTGATTTTTGGACCTTCCTGAATCAGCAACTGTTGTAGTATTGCAAAGGTGATTGTCAGGGGGTGGAGGAATAGGAGGAGCGATCATCATTTTTATAAAACCAGGTGTACAAGTAAGAAATGTGGATTTTGTTTTCCCTGAAGAAAAAATGTTAAATTTAGAAGAATGATAAAAAGTGCTTTATTCAAAATATGCTCCAACATTTGTTAAACATTTTTTTTCCATCTTTCGGGCAATTTGTGAATAGCACACCAATAAAAAATCTTCCCCCTTTTGCTGCAAACCACTCATTGAGCCTTTTGTTCACGTCTTCATACAAACCAAAGTGCTGCTCAGCAAGTACGAAACCCGTCGATGTAAACAAGTTATAATCGGAAGGACCCAAGTCTGGTGTGTAAGCTGCATGGGGTAGAACTTCCCAGCTGAGTGCTTCCAACGTGTCTCGAACCAGTTTTGCCATATGAGATGGAGCATTGTGTCTTGAAGAAAAAGGACTTTGTGCTGCCTCTTTTAGTATTCTGGCCTTTCTTCAAACAGCCAATGGTTCATGTTGGTCAATTGTTGTTGGTAATGTTTAGTATTAACTGTTCCTCCAGATTTTAACAGCTCCTAGTAGACCACTCCCACTAATCCCACCAAACACAGAATATTGTCTTTCTTTCAGAGCGATTCGGTCTGGCAGTTGATGTTGATAGTGTGCCTGTGTTTACCCATGAAATTCTGTGCTTTACCATGAAATTCTGTGCCTGTGTTTACCCATGAAATCCTAATTCCCATTAGGATTCTCAAAATGAGTCAACTTTTCAGCCCCTGTAACTATATGATGCATAAACACTTTCCTTTCATATCAAGCGAGAAAATGTCACATGTGATTTGCACTTTTCCATTTGCCTGTCGTTCAACTGATGTGTTACCAATCTACCAGTCTTCTGCACCTTTCCCATTTCTTGCAGCTGATTCGAAACAGCTTGTTGACTAAATGGCCATTTGCTCTTCAAGTTGTTTTTGTGCTTGCAAATCATCTTCATCCAACTATGCTGCAATTCCACAATCTTTGTATTTTTCTTTGCCAGTTTTCTATGTTTCTTGTATGCAACATCGAAGTCGCCACTTTTGAAATGTCAAAACCGTCATTCCACATGTGTTTTGCGATGGATCATGTTCACCATAAACTTCTTGAAGTAATTGGTATGATTCAGCAGCAGTTTTGTTTTTCAAATGAAAGCAAAAAATTAGCTGTCTGCAAATGCTCTTTGTTCGATATACATTTCAACATATTGAACAGAACATCACATTACTATGCACATAACAGAACATCACAATACTATGCATATGCTTTTCCAATTTGTCGCTCGTGCATATCTGGTAATGACACAACAAAATGGTGCAGTGTCAAATCTTTATAGCACAACTGCATTGGTGCACCATTTGTTGTCTGAAATCTGCATTTTGTACTTGTACACCTGGTAAGTTTACTAGGCAAAGTAGTGTGAATATCTGTGTAGTGCCATTGATAGAGGAAAATTGTCACACTGAATTGAAATGTTTAAGTTCTGAAAATTTTAGGAAGGACTAGATTTGAATAAACATCATCATTATGACATTAATTCCTTCTGTTATAGTTGGTGGTAGGCATTATCTTGCTAATTTCTGTGCAGCTAGGGACCAGGCTGTTTCAGTCAACCAAACATCTGGTGAATGCACCAGCTGTGGTGGAAATGGAACAGGCTGTCTATAAATTAGATGTTGGGCACTGAATGGAACATGTGGTTGTGCATTGTTCTATTGGTAGACGGCTCTACCTACACCTTGAAAATGTGGGATAACCACAGGCTACAACCTCTATTATAGCCTGTGTGTTAGATGAGTCACATTTCTTATGGCATTCTGTATTGTAATTCCAAGTGCTACGTCAGTATTGGTATGCAGTATTCAGATTGCAACATTTAATCCCGTACAGTATCTCAAAGACATGGCAGTCATGAAGCTGTATGCAAAATGGGATTCAGGCAATGGAAGATCATTTACAAGTCCTGTGCTTTGTTCATTTCACTCTTGTAGCCTTGGATGTCGGTGCGGAATGGTTAAAGATAAAGAGAAGTACTGTCAGGAATGTAACACTGTATGAATAATACTTGTTATTGTTTTGAACTAGGATACATGATGTGTCTATGTATGGGCTCTGTGCACAGTTCTTGGGCATTGGTATACTGGGTTTGTTGTGATTCTAGATATTTCTCAGTTCATCTGTTATGGACTTATACATGCCATATTCATGTGATTATAGCCAGTTTTCTAATGTAATTTCAAAGTAGTTCTTTGTAAGATTCACTGTTATGATATGCTATAATTCTTACATGATGAAATTCTGATGGCATGTTTAAATGATCAAATTCAATTCCTGTGTGAATAATAGGGTCTCATTTCAACTCTGGTCTTGGTGGCATTAATGTTGCTTGTTAAGTGCACATGCACTGCATTGCTAATCATTTGCACATCCTACTACTTTACAAAATATTTCTTTTTTTTTTCCTGATCTTTTCCTCCCCCCCTCTAAATGCATATAATCCTTTCAGAAAATTTTATTTATTTAACTCTTGCAAGGTCAAAGCTTATGCTAGCCTGTTGGTATAAAATATCTAACTGCCTAAAATTCCATTTGAGATTCACAACAATTTTTTCCACCTCAGTTCATTAGCAAGCAAAGAGGTGTCAAGGTTTCATATGATATTGTTTCTAGTTCCCATCAAAGGAGCGGGCCTACCAGCGGCCAAGCGGTGGTAGCTTAACACTGGTAGTTCGGTCCGAGGTTTGAATCCCACGAACTGGCTGGCTGCATGGGTGTTTTCATGGTTTTTCCCATGTAAGGTGTATACGAGCCAGTTTCCCTTAGAAAGTCCTCCACGAAGGCATCCCCCCTTTAGGCAGATAGCCCTCGTGTGCTTTGCCATAATTGAATAACCCAACCTAACCCATCAAAGGAGCTTCCATTAGCCCCTAAGTCTCCACTAAGTCATCTTTAGCCTAAAGATAATGAAACACAAAAGAATCCTGTTACAGCAATACTCTACAACTAAGATGAGCTAATAAAATGCACTTGGGAAAACTGCTGTTAAGGCCATTGTGTACTTTCGGAATAAATTAGAGCATTGTGATCTCAGCCATTTGGCTGGCTGTTGGTCATTTGAATGAATGGCCATCTCAAGCATTTTAGTGGTGAAAGAATTAATAGGGATCTCACTCACCAGAAAATGCTAAAATGTTAGGGGAAAAAAGAACTTTTCCAAAAATGAAAAAGTACAAATGTAAAAAGAGTACAAATCAATCCCTTCAGGTACAAGCTCATGGTTGAAACAGTAACCAATGAACAAAAATTTTCCCTCCTAAAGAAGTTTTAAAAAAGATGAATGAAGAGTTATTTTTACCCTTTTCTTACAGGAAGTATTTCATCTACTTCTTAATTGATACAATTTTATCAATAGCTGTTATTTATCCTTCACTTCAGATGTGTAATTGCTCT